TGACCCACAGCTCACATCGTGACCATGTGCATTCGTACGACACAACGTGGCGACCTATTAAGCCACCTTATGATGGGCCGTTTTAAGTGATCCGCCATGGCGACAAACAATTCACATTGAAGAGAAGCGGCCGTAAGGAGGTTGTGTCGTTAGACCGCGTTAATTAAGTTAGCACACAAGAACCGTGATGACGCCGTGCTGCCTCCACTAAGGGAATCATTGCCAGGACCACCAGCACCAATGCCAGCCCAAGTCCACGAGGTTCCCTCCCGGCTGATGCACAGCGGGCGGCTATCAAGAACACCCACTCACCTGGACCTATAACTCTGCTCGGCACCTCACTAGAGGGGGGGGGGGTGCTGTAGCGGCATGCAAGCCAAGCCACCAGGCAGTGCCACCCTCCACTGCTATTCGAAACCTCCTGAAGATCCGAATAAAACCAGTTGATGTTTGGATCCATGCCGCGTGGTCATTTGTGCTTCTCTGCACGTACGCACATCCCAACAATGTCATTCTGAATGCAAGAGCGCATTACAGGTTGCTTCAAGTGCCGATGAACAAAAAAAAGGTGCCTGAAACAGCTTAGTAAAGGCAACAATCATTGTCTTTTGAGATGTTTCTTCATGTCCTGTGAACTACTTGTTTTTTTTTCTAATTTCTAGGTACATGATTTTGCAAAGGCACAATAATAATTAGAACTGACAGAGAATAACTCCTTGGCATCATTGTCTGTAGAAAAAACAAGCCCTTAATGAAGGTAACATTTTTCATAATTCTGTAAATTAGTTCCAAACAAGAGTATGCTTGCATGATTGAAACATTCTTCTTAATGGCTATTGAGGTGATATTCAAGAGTGGGACTCATGAATGAACTCAAAAAGTTTTTGCATTGAATAAACATGGGCACGAAAAAATAACTTCGCCCAGATTTTTCTGATCAGCAGTGATTCGAAAGTAATGATGTGCTTATAAGTTGAGTTTGCTGTGCACTTTATTGCCATAACATTGCATGAATTCTTTTAACTGCAAGCAACTTTACAGATCATTTTTTTTGTATCACAAAAAGTAGCAATAAGAAAAAGGTAGTGTTTATGTGAAGAACTCTGAAAGCACGTGTGCTTTATTACTTTCAAAGCAGAACAACTTCTACCAGGTAGGAATAAAAGGTTCGAGTGGGAAGAAAATTTGCAACCTCTGAAAGGAGATTGAATATGTGTTGTCTGCTGTCTGAATAAAAGTGTCTGTTGTGCTAGCAGCAGTAGCTTTGATAGAAATGTGTTTGCACAACCTCTGTGAGGCTTCAATATCTGTTCTAGCATATTATTTTCAAAATGAGTATTAAAGCCTTTTAGTGGTTTTCTGAAATACCAACTGAATGTTGAGAAATCTAATTTGTGCAATATTTGGGAAATCTATGGCTCTGCAAGAGTGCTTTCAACATTGGTGAGCAACATTTCTGATGAAAACTGCTGCCTTGAAGACAAGTTCTCTTGGCAAAACGTTGGCTCTCCTGGCATTCCCTCTTCAGTTATTTCTCACTATTTCAAGCTTCAGCATTGCTCAAAACTAGTACTTAATTTGTTTGTTTGAATTTTGAAATAAATGGAAGGTGCCATAATATCTGTCATGCCTCTCTCTGCATTGCTGCTTGTTGATTCGAGCAATGCTATCTTATTTTGGTGGCAATATGTTTTTTGTTTCAACAACATCATTGCGTTTCACAACCATACCATCTCAATATTTTCATGCAGGCACACTCCTGTACAAGACGCTAAATACTCCTCCACGACCACACCACCCTACAGCAGGTGACGTGGTGAACAGAACGCATAATGCTCCTCAAGCCTGTGTGCGGTGCAGCGAGTTTTACGGCAAATATCTTGCTTTGTTTACAGCAGGTGCTGCTTCCCTCAGCTCGGGAACTGCTGACCAGTGTTCACAGCTGTGGCTGTTTGACCGCATAGTGCGACAAAGTGCCCTTAATGCGGCCAAAGTGCCGAAAAAAGAAAGTACTGCTGGCGAAGGCGCTGCAACAACAATGCTGATCCCAGTGTTCTCTGTAAATGCAGCCAGTAAACATGGGATGCGAATGGAGGCAGCGACTCGTGTGCAGTTTTCAAAGAAAACAGGTTTATCGGTGACAAAAGTGGGCAGTTTTGTCTGCGAAGAGATTTCGTGGCTTTCAGCAAATCCAGATGGCATGATTGACAGCGAGAATGTCATTCTAGAGATTAAATCTCCATTTGTGAGCACTATCACAAAGCTCATTGAGCTTGGCAAGTGTGATGTTAGGAAGAGGCTGGACGGGACATTGACTCTTGTAGAAAATGTGCCAAATATCTATTACAGTCAGATTCCAGTTCAGCTGCTTTGCATCAAAAAGACACTTTGCTTTTTTTTATGTATGGAGTGCCGAGAAAGACTTTCTCAATGAAGTATCTTTTAACCGTAACTATATTTTAAAAAATACGGCACAATTAAAGAAATTCTATTTTACAGACTTGTTTTCCCACATGACAGACATGCTTATTGATGGTAACCTAGATGTACCCAGTAAGTACATAAAGATTTGTGAGATTTAAACTGCGCAAACAAATGAATCTGTGCGTATCTTTTCAATTATGCACTGGTGTATTTGAACAATGGTCTGGAACACGATGAATTTTGAAGGTGATACAGCCTTGCAGGTTTCAGTGAGTTTTCTTAGGGCTCATTTATCTCGTTATCCTTTTTGCTGCACTGAAGTTTAGATTATTAGTACACTGCGGTGTGGGATGTTGAAAATTTACTTTATTAGACGCTAGGCTTTCGGATGAGATCTGACTTGAATATGCAAAGTCCTGCGCATACAAATACCATCATACTGATGTTTTTTTCCAGTCGTATTGGCAAGGATTGCTTGAATATTCTGTGTCTTTAAGCGGTTGATTGGGCACTCCACTTGTATGCGTGCAGCCGCATTTCGTCTGGTACTTATTACTTCATTGTTGGCTGGCTGCGTTTTTCGTGAAATGGTAAAGTAGCAATCAGTTGGAATTCATGGTATGCAGAATCTTCAAAATCAAATGTTCTTGAACTAAAGTCCGCACGTGCTTGTTGTCACATGTTTTTTTTTAAGAAACCGTCTTGCTAAAAGGTTTCCACATGGAGCTGGAGAAATGCAATTGTCATTTTCTTGTCTTCACTTAGTCTAAATGAGCTGTGCAATTCAGCTTACACTAAACTACTTTGCATTTTTTTTTCATGTCAGCACTGACACTTTCCGGGTCAACATTCAGTCCTTTCTAGAGAACTAATTTCAGTATACAAGAGCTTATTGGTAAGCATCCAGCTCCCTATATCATACTCTTGATGGCAGCTTGCAGCAAGAAAGCATTCCACAATTGCATGGCTGCAAGCATCACTGGCTAACACTCCAAGACTTAACAAGCATAAGAACGAATTAAAGTTGATAAGAAAGTGACCATCACTGCACCTCAATCTGTAGAGCATCTAATACGTTATCTTAAGGTTGTAGGTTGACTCCCTATACATGATGCAAGTTGACTTTTCACGATTCCTTTCTAATTATTACCAGACTGCAGTTAAAACATATAAGTAATGTCTCCCCATAGCTTTTCTGGCTTCTTTGTTTGTTGGTTTCATTATATTCTGTATTAACAAAAATAAAAAAGCTTTAGTGCAATGCGAGCACTATATTCTATTTGAGGAGTCAGAATCAAGTATTTACCGCCATTTTTTTCCACATACTCGTACACTAGCAGCTGGCATGCTATTGAATATTAATAATACGCCTCAAATCGAGGGAACGAGAAAGTCGCCTCGACATTTTTTCTTGCATCATCTACCTAAAAAAAGTGTAGCCAAACCTGGCAACCCTGGCTAGAACTATAAACGCAGAAATGCAGTATGCTCTCGTTGCATACCTGGCGAAACACAATGTATGTAAATGAGCCTTATTCGCTTAGGCACAAGGGAGGGTTGTTGCTGCTTTGCGCAACTTATCAAACCTCATAAATTTGAATTTGTTAAAGCCGCAGCCATCCACGTCAAACTTTTGATTATGAAATTTTTTGTGATACCAACTTGGCTATTTCAGATATAATGCTCGTGGTCTGAGAAGGTAAAGATGCTGTAGCAAATAAAACATTACACTAATTTGCTGTGCTACCATCTGGTAGGGCGCACCAATAACATAAGGGTATCGAATTAAGGTATTATGTTCCCAATCCGCCCTTTGATTCCAAACAGCGGAGCACATTAGCTTTAATCAACAGCACAAAACAATGATGAATAAGAGAAACGTACCTTTAATAAATGCTGGTGTGTTAAATTGTACATCTTGAATTTTCATTTCATCTTTGAGTGCGAAGCCTTGGTCCACCATCACAACCTTACCATATCCGAGGTACTCACTGATGCCACTATCATTTGTGATATATTTGTCTGAGGCACACCCTCCATAAGCGTAAACACGAACATAATGAACTCATTGGGGACAACCACTGCAAGAAATTTAACGGTGTTGTGCGCTTTGTAGCTGCCGTACGTTTGTGCTCTGGCCACCAGCTTTCTTGGACGCAGCGAAAACACTTCAGTGCAATCAAGGATGCATGTTGCGTCATCACGCTTGGTTTCCATGAATGACTGCGGCATACTGTTTTTGTATGCATATTTTCGGTAGCTAGATTATGAAATTCTTCGTGATTTTGCTAAGCAAACTCAGCATGTATGAAGCATGGTTGCTGACACAGGACATATACACCTTAAATATTCCGGCAAGGTGTCTGTGCAGCAGCCCAAGGCGGTGCCTTATTACACACACCAGTATAGTTGGTCAGCACGTGTTAGAACACTTGGCTTCTTAACCAGAGTAGACCCCTCTTTCACAAGCCTCTCAAACACTGTCTGGAATACACCAGATGATTAAAATTTCATCCCCACATACAGACTCTGCAAATTATGTTCCCTTGAATCAAATGGGCAGATCTTTAACTTACATGTGGTCATCATAAGGATTAGCCTCCAATTTTGTCCACTGGTCAAGTGTTTGCGCCTGCGGGTAAAAGAACATAAGCTTCAGAACCCTGCAGCTTCCTTGTGTTAAGTTTCAAGTTTTATTATTTCCAAAAACAAGGTACAAAATCTAGGATATACAGACGATGGTTCCAGAGCCAGAGACTTTAGTGGGACCCTCTGTTTATCGATACAAATCTACGGTAAAATTTATACAGAACAACAGAAAATTCTTACAATATACGGGCAACAAAATACACTTTTACATCACAAATCAAACACGCAGCATGGTATAACAAGAACCGAAAAACAAATGAGTCAAACAGGTAAACGATCACAAGTAAGGTTATTCGAGAAAATGATTTTTGGCTGGACTTTTTGAACAAAGGAAATGAAGTGCAACGCTTAATGCTAGAAGGTAACGCATTGCAAAAGGATATCGCACTGAAAGCAGAAGTTTTTTTCCCGTAATTAGTATAAGCGGGGGGTAACAGAAAATGTTTATCAGCCGCAAACCTGGTCATATTATTATTCTGCAAAATATCAGATGCAATAAATGGGAACGCCAGTTGATTTTTTTCCTTAAAAAAAATTATACAGCAGTTTGTGGAATAAGGTCACAAGACTTAACCGGAACAAAAGATTTACTGGCAAGATATTTTAAGAGCGTAGCAATGTGTAATTGATTTGATTGAAATGTGGGGTTTAACGTCCCAAAACCACCCTATGCTTATGAGAGACGCCGTAGTGGAGGGCTCCGGAAATTTTGACCACCTGGGGTTCTTTAACGTGCACCCAAATCTGAGCACACGGGCCTACAACATTTCCGCCTCCATCGGAAATGCAGCCGCCACAGCCGAGATATGATCCTGCGAATCAGCAGCCGAGTACCTTAGCCACTAGACCACCGCGGCGGGGCCGTAGCAGTGTGTAGGCGTTCGATTGCGAAAAACTAGAAGTGACAATGCAGATTGTCTGATTTTGAATGTGCTGTATTGATGATAAATGATAAGCATAAGTGTTGCCCCATGAGACTACACCGTAAGTAATATGATTATGAATTAACGCAAAATACAGCGCCAGTGGAGCTTCACGGGAAAAGAAAGGGCAAGCTTTAATTAATGCGCGGATACCAAACACCGTCTTCTGCTTAAGATGGTTAAAGTGACTGCGAAAGGTAAGGCATGGGTCGAGATGTATGCCAAGAAAGACGACATGACAAGAAGCAAAAATGGAATGAACACCCAGTTGTATCAAGGGAATAGTAGATAATTACCTCTGAGCACTTTTAAACACCATTAATGTAGTTTTTGTGGGGTTGATAGCTAAGTGATTACTGCTGCACCAACTTAATGCAAGATTTACCTTTGAAACAAGAGCATCAATATTTTTTTTCAGCTGAAGATATTGTTGTGTCATCAGCGTATAGAACACAGTGACCACAGTCAAAAGAGCTAAGAACATCAGAAAGATCATTCATATATAAAATAAATAGCAAAGAACCCAATACTGAGCCCTGCGGTACTCCTTGGCTAACACATTTTTATTGTAGAGAAGGTATTTGCGGCGTGTACTGTGTACTGTTCAAGTAGGTAATTTTTTAAGAATGTAAGCGCAGGGCCAGTTATTCCTTAGGACTGAAGTTTATGCAATAAGACTTGATGATTTACAGTGTCAAAAGCTTTAGTGAGATCTAAAAACATCGAACCCACTAAATTTCCCAAATCGATACTTTTCTTTGTGTAATCAGTTACAGACAGCGCAGCTAGGTTTGTTGACCTACCTGGACGGAAATCAAATTGGCTGTCTTTAGGCAATTTAAATTTAACTAAATATCTATTCAGACGTTCAACAAACCATTTTTTCGATTAGTTTGATGAGGCACGAAAGAATTTAAATTAGATGGTAGTTGGAAACTGTTTGTTTATTGCCTTTTTATAAACGAGAATTACTTTAGCTTTTTTTAAGAATGAAGAAAATAAACCCTGTTTAAACATAAAGTTGATAATATGACACAGCTTATCGGAAACTAAATGTGCAACCAGTTATAAATGCCTTACACAAATGTCATCTAACCCAGGCCCTGTATTTTTAAGATTAGCAATAGTGGAAAAGACTTCCTGTGGTGTTGTGTGGAAAAGAAAGAATGACTGCGTGGTACGTCCGAGAGAAGTATATGACTGCGCATGGGGGCGGTGGTTTGTATAGACGGAAGAAAAGTATTCCGAAAAGGCATTGGCAATTCTTTGGGCTCAGAGAATATGGATCCATTGTAGTCAATTTTGGTTAGAGGGACATTAGCAGATGATTTGTTAAGGAAGGAGTTGAGCAGCTGCCACTGCCTTTTGGGGTTAGTCCTATTCTTGTCTAATTCATTTTTAGTACTTTTTTAGCTTGCTTGAGCAAGGTATTTATTAGACTGCAATAAGACTTGTATCGTTTAGCAAGACGCATATTAAAGGGCTGACGCTTCTTTTTTATACATATTTTCTTTCTTCCTTGAACTTTTTAGAAGACCATTGGTCATCCATGGGTTGTGTGGATACTTGTATTTTTTGTACATTAGACAGCACGCGTGTTGGTCAAAACGGCGAGTAAAAATGACGAGCAAAATGCTCGCAAGGCTGCATCTGGGTCTGAAATAGACATAACAGGCACCCAGTCAGATGTACTGATAGTCTCAACAAAGGAATCGGAACTAAATACAGATGTGGAATAGCTAATATTGCGTGTGTGGGTTATGTTTTCGAATGTGAGGAAGATAGGAAAATGATCAGTGATATCGGTGTCGACAACCCCCACGCAGGGTAGTGACGCCAAGTTGGATAGCACGTGATCAATGAGTGTACCGGTACATTGAGATGCAACTCTATTTGGACACTCAACAAGTGATTCAAAGCCAAATCAAGTGAAACAATCAGTGTAATTTGCTTAAGAAGTACTATCCGTGTCAAGCGAGTTGATATTCACATCCCCTACAATTACTACGTTCTTATTTCCAAAAGTTAGCTTAAATAAAACTTCACTGAGACGGCGCAAAAAAACTGCAAAGGGACGACGATGGTGAGCGATAAATGCAACCCAGAATTAGGTCTTTTCATAATTAAGGAATGAGTGATCAACCTCTACCCACACTGATTCGCAATGATTCACATTTATTTCAAGGTCACATCTGTGCGTGTAAGCGACATCTTGGCAAAGAAAAATCGCGGCACCCCCATGATATTCATTTTGGAGATGGCAATATTCAGCTTGATAAGACAGGAAACTGGTCATGCAGTTATCAGCGTCACAAAGCCAAGTCTCTGATATGCAGATAAACGTGAAGGCATGCTCAACTGAGGAAATGAAGTTAGTGATTGCATCTATATTTTCATGAAGGCTACGTGCATTGAAGTGAATGAGGGAACGACTCATTTTGGAAAGTCGACACCACACAGATTCTGGAGAGTGCAAGGCCATGAAACGAGAGAGTGAACTATGCCTTCCTTAGGGTATGAGCGAAAGGAAGTTTATAATGCATCACGTGAAGATTCGAAGATCGGACTCAGTGGAAATGCGATACACTCTGCTGTCGTCTGCTTTCTGGGCTTTTATCTGGCAGTTCTCGGTCCACAAATGCTTCCACTTGTGTTCCTTTTTCAGTGCTAGCGCCTTTGAGAACATTTTCTTGTTATCAAGAGTTAAATAGTCCTTTACATAGATTGGCAGGTTAGTGCCACCAGAGAGGCCGATTTTGTCAGTGCGCAGTCTGGCTCTGCGAGCCTTCCTTATGAACTCATTTTTTTATCACGCGAGCAGAAGCGAACAATAATGCTCTTATCGGTGGTCTTAGAGCTAACACGGTGAACAGTGTCGATATCAGCGGGTGAGACGGGGCACTCGACAGAATCGCCGATTCGCCTCACAATGGCTCCGCAATCCTCACCCTGTGATGAAGGCACACCCTTGATCTCAACATTATTCCTCCTCGAAGACTGCTCGAAATCAGCCACTCTTTTTTCGAGTGGTTCATTTCGTGACAAGAGCATTTTGTTCGAGGCCAGCAGCTCTTCCTGTCGCAGCATCATTTCGTCAAATTCTTTGCTCATAAAACGAACACTTTCACAAAGTGAAGCATGCTCACCCAAACCAAGATCTTTCAACATGATGTTAACTTTCGACACAAAATCATTAATCACTGAGTCAAACTTCTCATTCAAAATTTCTTCAACAGATTCAATTTCTTTGGCAAGTTGCAGTAGATAAGGCATAGTGATTCAAAAAAACAGGGTTTTGGGTAGCAGTTGCGGACGGAATTGATTTAAAATAGGTGCACAAAGTAACCAACCAACCTATTGGCAGAAGAAATGTGTCTTAGAACGGAGACATGCCACCGCAACTGCTGCTGCCAAATGAAGTCCTGGCCAACAGGCGCGTGCTCATATGGTCCTTGTTGATGGTGGTGAGCAGTACGCGCAGGCGCAGCAGGCAGCACAGGGGTGAAGCACCTCAATTCCCTGCGATGAGTGCGTGCGATCGTGGACGATAATCTACGGTGGCCACTGACGACACGGGAAACCAAGCACGAGTAGGCCCTGTTGGCAGAAGAAATGCTTCTTAGGACGGAGACATGCCACCGCAACTGTTGCTGCCAAAAGTATGTGCTAAGGATCAACTACATAACAAATTCTAAACATACGTAACAGTAGATGTGTTTTTAACATGTAATTACCAACCTGCATGCTCCAGATATGTGCTTGTCGGCACACGTTTTGTGGGCATGTATATCTGTGCAAGCTGTAGTTTGGTACTCACTCATGAGTCGATTCACACGAACTCACTTGGATCAAGCCGCGAGTCTGAGTGAGTCCGGGTGAGTATTAGTTTGGTACGTTTGAGGAAAATTTTAGTAAGTCTCAGTCCAAGTGATTCCTGTTCAGAAAAATATTGGTAAGTTCAAGTAAGTCCTAAGCGCAAAATTCAAATCATGAGTGAATCTAAGTGAATTTTACCATTTATTGTCGACGTATAGCCTTATATACTCGTCTTCAGTGTTACTACGAATCTTATATTAGGTTATGTGTATACTGAAGTCTATTCACACATATCTCAACGCACTAGCATTCATGTACGTACCACCTCTTTGTTTAATTATCAGAGGCAGGCATTTGAGGGGGGAGGGGTGTTATGACCTGCCCACGGCGAAATTTTTCTCATGATACTCTTAATGTATATGTTTTGTCTGAGTTGCGTATTTTATATCATTGCCCTTGCTGAACGGCAATCACTGATAACTCGTTCTTGAAGCTACAACCTCAAAAGGTGTATTGCAGAGCACCGATTACGTGAAATAATTATGCTGAAGAGCATTTACACCATAATAGTAAATACTAATTTTACATCGGGGAACTCATGAGTCGGCACACCCAAGCTCACTCGTACTCTGATAAAGCTGTGAGTCAGAGACTGAGTTAGTCCAGCAGAACAATGTGTTGATGAGTCCAGACAACTCCGCTTTAGAAGAAGTATGGTTTAAGTGCGAGTCCAGTTTGTGGGCATTGAGGCTAGCCCGCTGCCTTTGCGCGGGCTTTGCCGCCTTTTCTGCCGTTCTGTTGACTGTCGCGCTGTGCGCGGAGCCTCCAGAGAGGTTTTCGCGCGCTGCGTCGGGAGCGGGCAGACAGATACTTTCCCGAACTACAAACGGTGAGCCACGCAATCTTTTCCGTCGGTCGACTCCCGTCGCTCGGGGCTCGTCGGACTTCACTGACGGCGCCTCGCGCCCGAGGTGAACGCTCACCTTTTGTAGCCCCACTGCGTACGCACGGCCGAAGGGCGGTACAGTGTCCTAATGCGTGGCCTAGCTACGCCGACCCGTCTCCCTCCGAAGCCAACGCGAGCGCCTTTGCCCTCGCTCGAGCAACCGGGCCTTGGTCCCGTTGTCTCCGTGGATCACCTTTACCGCGGAGACGTGCTCGTGGCACCCTGTGTAGTACTTTTATGCCCGTGGCGTGGATAAGCCTATTTGCTTTCCCGTCGCGCCTTTGCAACGGGCTGTACTGCGTTTGGTGTTGCCACAATAAAGTGTTGCGACTTTGAGCAGTATCGTGCTCTCGCCACGGCGACGTTTAACGCGTGCCCTGCGGCTCGCTAAGACCGGACCCACGCTGGTGGCCGTACTCCTCCGGTATACGTGTACACCACACTGGCGCCCAACGCGGCATCAAAAGCTCTAGCTTTTGACTGCTCTTAGCGAGCCAGTTCGCCTGCGCGATTCGGGCTCGTCGCAACATGGCTGCTCCGCGGGATTTTTGTCAGCTGTTCCTGTTAGCGGATGCCGCATTGCACAAGGAGGCCATTGCCTCTCCCGTCCGTGTCGGCACCCCCTATTGCGGTGACGACACGAGGCGCCTAGCCCCTTTCTTTGGAGATGGCGCGTCGCTTCGGAATGGGCCACTTGCCCTACCCGAACGTTACGCACAAGCGCCTCCGACTGCTAATGCGCCCTTCGGCATGCATGGCAGTTCGTCGGCACAGCGCTCGCAGTCGGTTCCCTGAGGAATCGACGGGGTGCATGCCTTGGCCCTCGCCGACTATTGCCCGCTATCAGCCGTGCAACCGACACTTCGAACGCACGCTGTGCAAGCGCCTGAATTGTCGATGGTTGCCGCACCAAGTGCGCCTTTGGTTCGACAACAGGCCAATCCCACAAGGAGGCTATCTTGCTCTGGGAATGGCGCACAGGGCGGTGGTCTGTTTGAAACCGCCGCGCTGGGAGACTGCTGGCTTTCACTCGACCGCGCCGCTAACGCACCAACGGTTTCCTACGGAGCCGGTGCGACGACGCAGACTTTGCTGCAGAATGCCGTGCAGATGATCCGAGCACTTTCGGGAGCTGTGCAAACGCTTTCGGCTGTTCCGAAAAGCGGTCACCCTGCTGTTATGTTGCCTTTGCCAACCTACAGCGGATACGGTGATCAGCTCACCGCCCGGGATTACCTTGACTCTCTGTCACGTTATGAGAGAGCGATGGGTTTGGATGATAAGGTGGTGCTCGAACGTGTTGATCCAGCTGCACTGACTGACACGGCAGCGAGATGGTATCGGCTTACCGATTACCGTGCAGCAACCCTCGAGGAGTTTCGTGCGGTCTTTTTGCGCGAATTCCTACCCGCTGACTACGATAGTAGGATGCGGCGAGAGCTCGAGCTCCGTACACAAGCTCCTGACAAGTCTTTACAGGAGTATGTACGTGCGATGGATGAACTTATTTCTATCGCTGAGCCCCCAGCCTCGAACGAGGAACGCGTCGAACGGGTGATACGGCAGGCACATCCGACTTTTTCGGCATACCTGCGCGGCGGCCGCTTCCGTGACTTGGAAGAGTTGGCCGCCGAGGCGAAGCGCATCCAAGGCGACATTCTCGCCGCGCGTGCCTATCGCCCGCCGCCGCCAGCCAGCGATGCCCTTGAGCGGCTCTGCGCTTCGAGAGGGGACATGACCCTTCCCCAACGGCAACAGCCTCTCGGCGCTGCCTTTGCGGCTGCAACCGGTTGTGCGTGGGAGTTGAGCGATCGTGCTCTTGACCCCTTTACGCATGCAAGGCGGGCAGCCTGCGCTGCTCCACCTGAAACCTCCACACAGGGACGCTTTCCGACGCAACGTAATGTGAGAGGTGCGGCTCGCAGAAACGTATCCTGCGATAACGTAGCGAGCCGATCACGACAGCTCGAGGCTGCTCCGTCTGGGAATACAGACCGTGGTGGAGTGCGCTGTTACCGCTGCCGTGAAAGAGGGCACATAGCAAGGGAATGCACCGGATCCAGGCCTCCTGCGAGGCTGGGAAACGGGCTTCCGGGTCGTTCGTGAATGCACGAGCGACCCAACCTTTCCTTCTTCCCTCTGCCTGCAGGGCAAGCACTTTTCTTGCTGATACGTACGCGCCGTTTATTCCGGTCACCATTGCCGGCCGTGAATTTTCAGTTTTGCTGGACACGGCCGCTAGCGCCTCGTTGTATGGCGAACAGGTGTTGTCCCACTTGCAGAAGCACTCAGTGCGCCTGCGGGACAGCCGAACGACATTCACCCTTGCGAAAGGCGTTGCCCATTCGGCAAGCGCTGCAAGATTGACTGTCCGAAGGGGAGATCGAATGAGACGCTGCCGTCTTGTTCATCTTCCAGGGCTCAATGTTTCAGTGATTCTCGGTCGAGACTTTCTCCTTAAAACCAGTATCGTTGTGGACATTGCGAATGGCGGCTATCGTGATGGCCCATTTTGCCAACTCAAGCCGTTCATCAGCCCGCCGGCGCTTACCGTCGCCTTTGGGGCAGAAGCGTCGGAAACGTGCCCTGCGCAGAGTTCGGGGCCAAGCCCCCGCTCAACGCATTTACCCTCTCACAGTCCCCTTCGGGAACAAGAGGCGCGGCACGAACCGTATCGTGCGCCAACTCCGGGGCCATACCCTGGCGTTCCGCGCTCGTCGGCTCGAAACCGCTGTGTGGATCGACCGACACGACACGAAGAGGCACTACATCCTTTGGTCGCCTGCGCGCCTCAGTTGAATGGAGCACAGAAGGCTCGTCTGTCGACACTGTTACGTCAGTACGACGAGCTCTTCACTGATCAACAAGCCTGCACCAATTTAGTGAGCCATGTGATTGAAACTGGTGACGCGCTTCCTCTGAAGTGTAACCCCAGGCCCGTCAGTCTCGCCAAAAGGCAGATTATCGATGGGTTGCTAGATGACATGATTGCGGCTGGCATTATTCGCCGCTCGTCTAGCTTCTGGGCGTCTCCAATTGTGCTGGTGCCTAAGAAAGATGGCAGTCACCGCCTGTGCGTCGACTATCGCCATCTGAATGGAGTGACTCGTAAGGATGCCTATCCGCTCCCCACGATAAACTCCATCGTAGGTAACCTGCGTGATGCACGGTACTTTACCACGCTTGACGCCTCTAAAGTTCACCCACAGGTCCGGATGGGTAACCGTGACCAGTGTAACTGCGTTCACGTCCCGCAGAGGGTTGTTCGAGTTTACTTCTATGCCCTTTGGTCTTTGCAATGCTTTTGCGACGTTTCAAAGACTCATGGACCGCGTCCTCGGGGAAGCAAAGTGGTCATACTTTATGTGCTACCTCGACGACATCGTGATTTATTCACGAACCTTCGAAGAGCACTTGGTCCATGTTGCCGATGTACTCGAGAGGGTGACGACCACCGGGATGACATTAAACCCCGCTAAGGTCCAATTAGCACAGACCCGTGTTCAGTTGCTCGGGCTTACGCTGGACGAAGGCTCCATAGATCGGGATCGGGATAAACTTCGAGCTATTCCCGATTTTCTCGTGCCCAAGGACGTACGTGGCCTTCGCCGCTTTTTAGGAATGGTCAACTTTTACCATTCCTTTATTCCGTACTGTGCCCGACTGCAGGCGCCCTTGGGCAAACTCTTGGGTAAGTCTGCTGAGTGTCAATGGGGACTTGAGCAGCAGGAGGTGTTTTGCCGACTGTCTAACGCCATAGCGGAGACAGCGCAGCTCAAGCTACCCGACCTGACCAGACCGTTCGTT